CTCACACGGCCCCAACTGGGGACTTGGCCCGCAACCCAGCTATGTGCTCTGACTAGGAGTCGAACCAGTGACCTTGGTTGGAAGGTTGATCCTTAATCCACTGGGCCACACTCTGCCAGGGCAGCTTTGTGCATTTTTGTTGGTGGTGACATTAATTGCAGGATTTGGTGTGGTTGGTTTTTGGTTATGGTTGTAACACTGGTGGAAGATAATGCAAGGTGAGAGTTGAACCAGCCAGCTTTCACTTCTGAAAGTTCTGATGTTCCTGCTGTTGGTGAGACAATTTGGTGGAGAAACAACGTTTCAGTTAGCATTGAATTATTGGAGTGTTTGTTTTCTGCTTTGGGCACCAGGGTTGTAAAGGCTCATTCTGGCCTCTGGGCCTTTTTGTCCAGTTTAAGAGGCTAGGCAGACAGAAATTCATGGCAGCGTGATTCAGAGTTTGGCAGTGTAACTAGCAATAAGTAATCTAGGAGATGAAAGAAAAGGTGAGAATCTGAGGCTAGAGTGATAGTCTCAACAAGCCATGAGAGAATTTGAGCTAGCCCCCCGGGGTAGGCTGGAATTAGAGAGCACTCAGGGGGAGACTTGTGCTTGTGGAATATCTCTTGCCAGGCATTTGTGAATTAATCCATGAGAAAAATGGCTGGTTGGAGTAGGGAGGGCATGTGCACAGGAGACATACAGGAAAGACTAGATGGGTTAAAATGGAACCAGACAGCACAGGGCCCTGAGTGCCCAGTCGAAGTATATCTCTGTTAAGGCTTGGTGCCACAGCTGAAAGTGAATCAACTCTATTTTCTGTATCCACTTATCCTTTATAACAGGGGTCCCCAACCCCTAGTCCATGGCCTGTTAGGAGCTGGGCCAAATGCATAGCAAGAGGTGAGCAGCGGGCAAGTGGGTGAAGCTTCATGTGTATTTACAGCTCCCCATCGGTTGGGTTACCCCCTCAGCTCCACCTCCTGTTAGATCATCTGCTGCGTTAGATTCTTGTAGGAGAGCTGGGTCCTGTGTTCCTTAGGAGAATCTGATGCCCGATGGTCCCAGGGGGAGCTCAGGCGGCAATGCCAGTGCTGGGGGGAACTGCAAATGCAGACCGTCATCAGCAGAGAGGTCTGACTGCACAGAGACTGTAGTAAATCAGTTGCTTGCAGAGTCGAAAGCCCCGTCAGGGAGTAGCAAGTGACAATTAAGCTGCATCTGGTGGCAGGCTTTCATAAAGCCATCCCCTTACCCCAGTCCCAGAAAAAATTGACTTCTGTGAAACCAGTCCCTGGTGCCAAAAGGTCGGGGACCGCTGCTTTATTAGCACCACTAGAGCAGAACACAATCGTGAAGATTAGTTAAGAACTTCCACTTCCAGCCAGTCATTTTAGGCTTGAGTTAATAATCAGAGCTAAGTTGACGGCAGTGGGACAAAGAGAGATCTTTTAAACATGAGTAGTAGGATTTGGTGTTTGCAGTACCTGAGATGATGGTCACTGACTTTGAGATGGTGGTAAAACATACCAGTTACAGATGTCTTAAACTCGTTTTTTATTATATTTTATTGATTATGCTGTTAGTTATACCAGTTGTCCCCCTTTTGCCTCCCTCCATGCGGCACCCCACTCTTTCAAATGCTCTCTGTATCCATGATTCTGTCTCTTCTTGTTTGCTTAGTTTGTTTTTTAGACTCATTCAGTTGTTGATAGATATGTATTTATTGCCACTTTATTGTTCATAGTTTTTATCTTTTATTAAGTAAGTCCCTTTAACATTTTATATAATAATGGCTTGGTGATGATTAATTCCTTTACCTTTTTCTTGACTGGATAGCTTTTTATCTGGCCTTCCATTCTGAATGACAGCTTTGCTGGGTAGAGCAGTCTTGTCTGTAGGTCCCTGGTTTTCTTCACTTTGACTCTTTCTTGCCAGTCCCTTCTAGCCTGCAAAGTTTCTTTTGGAAATCAGCTGACAGTCTTACAGGGACTCCCCTGTAGGTAACTAACTTATTTTTCTCTTGCTGCTTTTAATACTCTTTGTTTATCATTAACCTTTGGTGTTTTAGTTATGATTTATCTTGGAGTGGGCCTCTTTGCATCCATATTGTTTGGATCTCTGTGCTCCCTGGACTTGCATGTCTGTTTCCTTCCCCAAATTAGCTATTTTTCAATTAGCTCTTTTGCTATTTTTCAAATAGATTTCTGGTTTCTTGCTCTTTCTCTTCTCCTTCTGGCACCCCTATGATGTGAGTGTTGGATGTACTACAGTTATCCCAGAGTCTGCTTACACCAGGGGTGTCAGACTCATCTTCACCGGGGGCCACATCAGCCTTGTGGTTGCCTTCAAAGGGCCGAGCGTAATTTTAAGGCTGTATAAATTAACTACTCCTTAACTAGGGCAAGGAGCTCAGTGCCACCACTGGGTAAACAAGGTGGAGTGGCCCGTGGGCTTTGTGTTTGCCCCCTGTGCCTTAGACTGTTTTTATCTTTTTGGATTCTTCTTCTTCTGATTCGTGTTTTTTTTCTTCCATATGTTCCAAATCATTGATTTGGTTTCCGGCTTCATGCACTCTATCATTGTGTCCCTGTAAGTTGTTCTTTTTTCTAATTAGTGTACCCTTCATTTCTGACTGGATTTTTTTTATGCTGCTTAGGTCCTCACTGAGTTCCTGGAGCATCCTTTTAACCAGTGTTTTGAACTCTGCATCTGGTATATTGCTTATGTCCATTTTGTTTAGTTTTTTTTAGTAGAGTTTTGATCTGTTCTTTCATTTGGGCCATGTTTCATCTCCTCATCTTGGCAGCCTTTCCTTTTTTTTTTTTTTTTCTTTCCTTAAAATTTTTTTTTAGGGAAGAGGGATGGGAGGGAGAAGGAAGGAAACATCAGTGTGTGAGAGAAATATCAATCAGTTGTCTCTGCATGCCTCTGACTGGGAGCCAAACTGGCAACCCCACAGTTTGCAGGTTGGTGATCAGCTCCCTGAGCCGCACTAGCCAGGGCTCTGTGTTTGTTTCCGTGTATTAGGCAGAGCTGCTTTGACTCTGTGTCTTGGTAGTGTGGCCTAATGTAGCAAGGTCCAGTGGCACAGCCTCTCCTGTCACCCAAGTTGGGTACTCAAGGTGTGCCTTTCATGTGGGCTAAGTACACGATCCTCTGGTACTTGAGCCTTGGTTGCTGTGGGCAGATCAGTGGGAGGGATCTACTCAGGCCACTCAGCTACAAGGGCTGGCTGTGACTGCTGAGCACCAACCGCCGCCCTCCCTAGAGGATCAGCTGTTGCAGGGGCAGCAGGGCAGTGGTGCTCCAGCATGGTCTGTAGCTGTCCACTGGGTACACAGGCTCTGGGGTCTCCCCGGTGGTGCAGGCCAAGGTCAGCTCGCCCCACCTTCCCCTGTGTTTTGCCCAGGGCCACCCCTGCCTGAGCTATAAAGCAATCTGAGATGGCTGCTACTTGGGCTGGGCTCAGAGATTCCCAGGAAAGCAAGCTGTGAATGTAGGCTGACTGCTGCTAGTGTTAGGCCTGGGGCCCCTTCATAAGAGGTATGAGGGCTTGAGACTCACTGAGGCTGGCTGTTGCTTGTTTGATAGGATTTGGGAAGCTGTGAAGCTTGAGCCAAGACCAGCCATTCATACGTAAAAGTCCTGGTTAATAGTTTGGGTGGGCCTGGAGTCTGGGGATCTCCAGGGAGGGGGCAAACAGTGTTAGCCAAGTTGCTGGAGTCTCTGGTACGGTACCAGACTGCAGGCTCTGAGGCTCTGTGGCTCTGTAGGGAGAGGGTTCAGAAAAGGGATGGTGGTCTCTGCCTGTCTTTCTGTCTGGGAGAAAGCTGTCCCCTGGCTCTTACCTTGATGCCAGACACTTCAGTTCCTCCTTATATGTCACTGAAGCCTTTCAAGCCCAGTGCTGGAGCTCAGAGGAAGTGAGTGAGTAGGTGAGTCTGGGGGGGGCGGTTCTTTAAGGGGAACTCCTTGAGGCTTCAGAGTTTCTTCCACTGACTCAGTCCCCACTGATTTTTGCAGTCAGAAGTTGTGGGGACTTAATCTTCTTGGCACTGGAACCCTGAGCTGGAGGCCTGGTGTGGGGCTGGGACTCCTCACTGCCGAGATACCCCTCCTCAATTTTTATCCACCACTCATAGGTGGGGGACCAGCCCATTCTGCATCTCAGCACCTCGGTCTGGATGCATGTGGTTTCTCTAATTCTGTAGCTGTCAGACTTCTACTCAACTCGGTTTCTGACGGTTCTGAGTGGTGGTGGTTCTATATCTTAGTTGTAATTTTGATGTGGTGTACAAAGAGGTGAACCATGTTTACCTGTGCCGCTGTCTGGACTGGAAGAGCTGTCCTACGCTCTTCAAACACATACTTACTGAAGGCCAGCTAAGCACAGGCTTCAAACAGGGCTCTGGGGACCCATGGCGATCAGGACTGAGCAGAACCCCCTCCTCATGGTGCTGGCAGTCTGGTGGGAGAGGCTGGAGGGTATCATAACAGCTGCAGTTACAAATCCTTGACACCAGTTGCATGGGGTTAGGGGCCATGACCGTGGGACTAAAAGGCCGGGGTAGCTGGACCAGATTGAGAGGAGGCAAGTGAAGAATGAGGAGGCTGGAGGGGTAGGCAGCAGTCTACCCAAGGTGAAGTTGATGAATGGGACTTATCAGTGGGGCAGGGTTGATGGTCAGTGGGAAATGTGTGTGGTAGACAAAAAGCGGGACCCGGTGAGGTGGTAGGAGGAGGAGCAGGGTGCTACAGATAAGCCAGGTGAAGAGGAGAGAGCCAGGGAAGGAGCATTCGGAAAGACCCAGTGGGTTTGGCATCAAGAATTTTGGTGCCCTTAAGCAGAAACAGGATTTTGAGAGATTGAGGAGAAAGACTGGGTGCTTATGAAATTGAGATATGGCTATAAATCACCCACTTAAGAAGCTACTAATGGAAAACACTTTTTATAAAGTGTTTTTACCCACGTAGACATTTTTACTCAGCTATGGTCATCTTTTGATGTGCTGCAGATGAAAAAAAAGATATTGACCATGAGACGGTGGTCGAAGAACAGATCATTGGCGAGAACTCACCTCCTGATTACTCAGAGTACATGACGGGGAAGAAGCTTCCTCCGGGAGGAATCCCTGGCATTGACCTCTCAGACCCCAAACAGCTGGCAGAATTTGCTAGGTAAGTTGCAAGAACTCTTTTAATCATACTCGAGTGTTCCCAACTGTATTTTTGCAGCTGTATGTATCTTTGTGCGTCTGAGTTTGTGTTCTTACTCTAGGGAAACTTGAAAAAGAGAAGCAGGTTGTTTTTAGTAGTGACTGTGCTGTCACTGTATCACCATCTTAGATCCTTGAAGACAGTAAGATGAAGTAAATACTCTTTAATCTGTAAATGACATTGCCTGTGAATAAATCAGTTGCACAAAATCTGTTTGGAAATGGATATCTCTACACTGCAGGAGACCTGGGACAGCGCTCCATTTGTGCAGTGCCTCTGGGGAGGGGTCGCCTGTCGGCATGGCATTGTAGCAGTGGCAGCGACGCTGCTGCCGCCTTGTTCATTTAAGCTGTACGACAGGGAACAATCAGGTGTGCATGTCCAGGACCCTGTGACTGTCCAAGGTGAGCGGTCAGGAAGGGCCGAACCCACTGGGTGTTTGTTGTGCCTGAAACAGGCTGGGCTCCTCTGCCCTGCTCCACCTTTTAACCCTCCCCTGGAAGACATGCTGGTTGATTTTAGAGGTGGGAAGGCGAGAGAGGGAGAGAAACAATTAACCCCCCCCCCCCCATGCTCACTGACCAGGAATCAAACCTGCTTCTTTTCTGTTCATGGGACGACGTTCCACTAGCTGAGCCACCATCTAGGGCACCTCTGCCCCTTTTTATGTTATTTATGTTCCAGTAATGTTTGGCAAAAAAGTCCTTTATAATCCTTACCTCTGGGTATGTTCATTGATTTTAGAGAGAGGGCGGAGGGCAGAGAGAAAGAGAACCATCAGTGTGAGAGAGGCACTGGTAGGCTGCCTCCCGTATGCACCCCAATCAAGTGTGTGCCTTGACTGGGAAATCTAACCCACACCTTTTGGGGTGGGGTCAGCGCTTCAACCAGCCGAGCCGTAGGCCAGGGCCTGTTCGACAGTGTTGACAAGGGTGTGAGAAAACCCATGAATACTCTCTGAAATAAAATGAAAGGAACTGACAAACCCTGGAGCAGAGGGTCTCCTCTTCCCCCCAGTCTGCAGTGGAATGGGGTCCGTAACGCCTGGGAAATTCAGGTGAGGGCTGGGTCTGGACAGAAGAGACCTGCGTGCTCCTGCACCTTCCGAGGACAGAGTGGGGCGCCTTTGTTTGTTTCTCTCGAGAGCAGAGTGGAGTAAGAAAGAGTTGGAGGACCTGGAGGGTCCTGGTGTCTCCTCCCAGCCCTGCCAAGAACCAGGTGGGCAAACTTGCCGTTTGGAGCCTCTGTCTCCTACCTGTCAGATGAGTTTAAGAACTCCGTTGTGTCTTAGCAAAGGGGTTCCGACCCTGTTCTCCTTTCCAGTGAAACTAGCTGTGGTGGGAACTCACACAGTCGTCCTGTTGATGACAGTGCATTTCCATTGTCACTGCCATCCGTGCCTATGTGTCAAATGTTAGTACCACCCTCTTCTCCGATACAAATACAGATGGAATCTGTAGGCCACACAGTCATCAATGAGGTTAGAGATTTGGGGCAGAATGGGCCAAGTACCCTGCCAGTGCTCACTGTTGTCATGTTCTTCAGGTTAGCCTCTTCTTCCTGTTGCCCTCAGGCTGCAGTGAGGACATGATAGGGGCTGGGGCACAGGGGTAAAAGGTGATGGGACACCAGGGTCAGGGGAGCTTTGCGAAGGGTGGCGTTTGATCTGGGCCCTGTGCAGAACATAGAGGTCCGGTGGGCTACTTGTTGGATGGTGAGAGCGCAGTGCACACACCCCATATCCCACGTGTGCTCAGAGCAGCGAAGCGCTTGGTTTGCCTGAGACAGATGGTGGCAGCAGGCAGTGGGAAGGGTGATTCAGAGCTCTGCTCCTTAGGGGATGGGAAATGGGGAGAGGGTGCTGGTCTGGGCTCCAAAGGGTAGCCTTTGGTTTCAGATGCTAATAACATACCATTCTGGTTTAAGGTGGTCTCTGGAAGTTAGGGCTAGAGTCCTCTTACGGGAGGAGGCTGGAGGCCCAGAAGTATTAGGTAAGTCAGCCCCCAGCAGGTGGTTTTGGAGGGGAAGGCCCCAAAGAAAGTCCTAAGGGAGCCCCTGTATTCAGCGGGTAAGAGGGACTAGGGACAGAGCAGGAAGATCATTCAGATTTGGAGGAGGGACGAGGCAGTCAACACGACATCACGAGAGCCAGGGCGGTCCCAGAAGGGCCAGGAGCGGGAGGAGTCGGCTTCTGCGTTGTGTGCTGTGAAGTGACATCAGTCAGTGAGTTGGGGGTTTGGCATAGAGCCAGCCTGTGGGTGGGCGTCATTGGGTGTTGGTGACCTGGGTATTGTCCACCCTCACTGGAGAACAGGGACAGCTGCTCTGCAAGCTTGTCCCCAGTCCTCCAAACAGAAAGTCCAAGGTCTTTCTGTGCTAAACTCAGGCAGCACGTGTCACTGACATGGAATGGAAGCCTCTGTTTGTCTCCCAAGTGGCCTGGTCTCTGCGTCATGGCTGCCTGAGACCTTCCTCCCGAAGAAGGGGACCAGAAGGGCCTGGGGCAGATGTCTCAGAGGCCATTAGTGAAATTTCGAAACACTAAGCACAAAGAACCCCAAAACTTCCGGCAGAAACAACAGGTCACCTGCAAAAGTTCATTAGACCTGGAAGAGACTTTTTTTAAACAACAATGGATAATTAGAAGAGCAGTGTTTTTGAAAAAAATTATTATAAACAATTTTTAAGAGAGAGGGGGGAAGGGAGGGAGAAAGAGAAACATTGGTTTGTTGCCTCTCACAGGTACCCTGACTAGGGACACAACACATAGCCTAAGCAGGTGCCCTGACCGAGAATCGAACTGGCGACCTTGCACTCTGCAGGACAGTGCCCAACCCACTGAGCCACACTGGTCAGAGCCAGTCATAGAATTCTGTTTTAAACAAGATGTTTACTTATTTAAGTTTAGAGAGAGGAAAGAAGGGTCAGAGAAACATCAGTGTGTCCTGCCCACCTGCAACCGGGGATCTGGCTCCCAACCCGGGCATGTTCCCTGACGGGGGATCTTACCTGCGACCCTAGGTTTGTGGGATGGCACCAACCCACTGAGCCACACCAGATAGGGCCAAACATAGAATTCTCCATCCCGCAAAGCTATCAGTCAAATCCAAGATTTATCTTAGACCATTGCATGCATGCTTTCTGAGGAGGTTCATTGAGGATACATTCCAGTAAAGTAAGAGTGAACTTCAAAGGAAGGCCTTTTTAAAAGCCTACAGTGAAGCCCTGGCCGGATAGCTCAGTTAGAACTCTGTCTAGTACGCCAGAGTTGCAGGTTTGATTCCTGGTCAGGGCACATACAGGGCTCAACCAGTGAGTGCATGAATGAGTAACAAAAGTCAGGGTCTCTCCGCCTTTCTCTCTCTCTAAAATCGGTAAATTAAAATCACTTCTCAGTCTTTTGCCTAAGATCAAGTGTAAAATCAGTACATTAAAGAAAATGCAGAGAGCCCTGCCTGGTGTAGCTCAGTGGATCGAGTGCAGGCTGCAAACCAACGGTCGCCAGTTCGATGCCCGCTCAGGGCACATGCCTGGGTTTCGGGCCAGGTCCCCAGTGGGGAGCTCATCAGAGGCAACCACACATTGATATTTCTCTCCCTCTCTTCTTCCCTTCCCCTCTCTCTAAGTATAAATAAGTAAAATCTTTTTTTTTAAATGCAGTGAAAAGAAAACCAAGAAAGCTGTGTGAGTGTGCGGAAACCATGTTCCAGCTAGTGAAGGAAGTCAGTGGGTTGTGAGAGCGTCTGCCAGAGCAGGGGACCCCACTCAGTAGTGGACAGAGGGGTAAGACGCTAGAGGATCTTGGTGGCGTGGGAAAGAGTCTTCTAAAATAAAGAGACACTCAGAAGCCCCCAGGGGCAGGACGAGGGATGCAGTGCTGTCTGGCGGGTGAGCTCACGTGACGGCCCGGGGGAAGGGCTCTCCTGGCACCGCCACCACCCTGTTGGACTTCTAGAGCAAGAAAGGCGACCCTGGCACACGGTGCGTTGTACCTCAAGGAATGTTCACATAAGCACCTGAACCTGGTGTGGGCCTGTTTTCTGTCACACTCAGCCGGGCAGAGACTTCATTTGTGGGCAGGATGGAGTGCACTCTGCTCGCCTTGACAGTGTACACAGAGTAAAGGCAGAAGGTAGGCGCGTTCTCGCCCCCGTGGGCCAGGGCACCCTGAAAAGGGCGTGTAAGAACTGAGCAGAATCTCTGGTGGCACAGAGGGTGGAGGAGACGTACTGGAGCTGGAGTGCCCTGCACGCTAGGTCCCCACCTTTTGAGACTGTGTGTAACGCCAGCGAAGCAGGATTTCCCAGAGGCTTCCGTGGGGGCCGGGGCTCAAGCTTTCAGACTCGGGGGCCACATCCCCTGCTCTGTGCTTACGAAGACCCACACGCCCCTCTGCTGGCCTCCAGTCCTCATGTGCTTCCTCTGGGAGCCCTGCTGTCGGCCGCCCTTCCCTCCTCTGCAGACTGGGTTGCGAGGGCTCCGGGCGGGCCTGGCAGCAGCCCCCTCGAGTGTCAGGTCCTGCACACTGACCCTGGGCTGCTCAGGCTATGGTGTGTGGGCATCTTAGAAAGTCATGGTGTTGGGACTGTGGGGCGACGGGTTTTTTCCTGGAATTTTTAATCAGTGCATGGGTGCCTCTCGTGAGTCCCCTGCTGGGAACTGGCCTGCAACCCAGGCATGTCCTGACTGGGAATCAAACCGCGATCGTATGGTTCGCAGGCCCGCACTCAATCCACTGAGCTACACCAGCCAGGCCCTAGAACGTCTTTTTATTAAAGACTTCAGAAAGGGAGAGTGGGACCTGGCAAATTCTACTTCCTGACTGAATAGACAGCTTTTGTGTGTTTCCCATTATCTGAAGTAGAAGAGTGCTTTAGGTGCATCCCAGGTGGTTGCCCTGTCGTTCACCGCCCACCCTGAGACCTTGTCCACAGGGTTGATGCAAAGATGGGAAAGATGGGCTGTGGTCACGGAGCTGGGTGTGCCGCCCCCTGACCGCGCACTGTTATGGGGAGACAGTTCCTTTAACCGACGCTGTCTCATTTGTCTAAGGCGGCGTTATTCTTGGCACAGTTCTGCACCTCGAATGCAAGTGCCTGATGTACGACACGGGACTTCCGTCCTGTCTGCACAGGTCCCAGTTGGTGGTTCCAATCTGGAGTCCACAGAGTTTGCTGAGAAGAGCCTCATTCCCATTCAGTAGTCATTGCTTCTGAAACGTTCGCCTCGGCTTCTGGGCCCTCACAGCTTTAACTGGGTGGGGACTGCTGGCTCACACAGCCTTGCAGAAAGTTGTGCTGGGGACTCGCTGTGGTGTCTGGCCCTCGAGTCCAGCCTTGACTGCATCTTCCCACACAGACACAGATGGGGACAGCGCGGCGCCAGCCGTGCCGCGGAGAGAAGGCTCTCCATTTTCACTTGAGCGAGGGGGTTTCTCTGGGTGGTTCCTGGCTTCTCTGTGGAGTTCCCAGCATGTCCGGGAGGCTCTTTGCTTTGACCTGTGTCTGTGCGCCGTCTCATGGGCCTTTGTTGAAAAGCGTGGTTCGGAGCACCAGAACCTTCTGGGTTTTACGTATAACCAGCTTTATCTTTTTCAAAGGAATTAACTCATTTTTAGCTTGGCCCATTTTACACGCAGCTGGGGGGTAGTGATGGCTGTTGTTTTCCAAGAGTCGATTGTGCACCACGCCTTTTAGTCTTCAGGCTCGAGGCAGGTAGCATTGCGCCTTTTTACAGAGTAAGAAACTGAGGCTGAAAAGTTAAGTAGTTTGCTCAAGGTCCTGCAGCCGGGGCTGCCAGGCAGCCGGCCTCGCGCCCCACGCCCGTCGGTCTCGTTCGTGGTGCCCATGCCGTCGTCAGTGTTGTCTCCAGTCGGAAGGTCTCCGGAGCCCGCAGTCCTGGAACATGGCTGTCCCGGTCACTTCCGACCGGTTCGGGCAAGTGTGTGGCTGCAGTCTGTCTGTTTCACAGTTTCTGGATTGCAAATATATAATACATTTGTTTTTATTTTGCAAGTTATGTGTCAATTGGTGCCATGAAGATTTTAGTCTTTATTTACAAAACAGGAGCATACATCTTTGGGAAATGACCTTTCGCAGGGTTTGCATTGGAATAAAATGTGAGAGCTCCCGGCATCTGCCTTCTGCCTCGGGCGCTGCTCACCGAGAGGACAGGCAGTTTGCCAAGGGACTTCAGAGTGGCCGCACTTCTTCGCCTTCCTCACTGTCCAAATGCACTCTAAACTTGAATTCTAAAATTAATTATATTGCTAAATGCTTGCACACATTTTGAAAATGACAGTTAAGTGAAACAGTACTTGGTAACAACATTTTTAAGAAGTTGAGAGTTTTGTAAATAACACATGGTACTATTCTCTTTATACTTTTGTGTATATTTGAAGTTTTCCATGATAAAAGACAAGTTTTTTCAAATGAAGTTCCTGGGAATAACATAAGAAAGCGTATGTGTGGGCATGGGGACCCTGCTGGGCCGCACGGGGCCTCACTGACGCCCACCTCAGCCTCGGACCGGAGACGGGTGGGTGGGGGAGACGGCGGTCTGCACGGCTCCTTGGCCAGCCCAGTGGGCAGTTGAGAAAGTTGGTTTGTTGTGAGGATTTGCACACGGTGTGGTGGACTTGCTTGTAGGTGAGTATCGTTCTGTGAGTCTGGACGCACGGCCACGCAGCCAGCTTCCCAGTGGAGACAAAGGGCGAGCACTCTCTGTTGGGAAAACCAAAGCTTAGTTATTATAAATGTACTCTTTCTAATTAGTATTTGGAGTAGAGCCCGTTTGTGGGCATCACTGTCGTTTTTCAGACTTTGGCACAGTGTCCAGATGGCACAGTGGCATCAAATTTTTGTCCGACATAGTGTTGTGAACCCCCGCCCAAACTCCAGGGCTGATGGCAATTGAGGCAGCAGAGGCCTCAAGTTCATGGCCCCACACACAGCAGGGACTGAGACAACATTTGTTAACTCAGCATTTGCCAACGCTTTGAGGTACAGGGCCTATAGGGTTGGTGTGGGGGAACAGCATGCCCAAGATGTTGTCCTATAAGGTTGGACATTCACACGGTTTTGAACAAACTGTAGAGATGAGGTACAGCTGCCAGATAAAGTGCCTCCTCACCCGTGCTCCTCTGGGCACGGACGTTTAACTGGGTGACTCACGAGTCCAGGTAGTTTGTACGGTACAGAGCACCAGGCAGTCCTTATCACCAGCCCAGGGGGAAGAAGGGTGCTGTTGGGGTCTCACAACAAGACACCGGCAGAAGTCCGTAGTGGGGGGGCAGAGTCGCCCTTGTGAGGGGCACAGACGTGCTGGTGCGTTAATGCACCTGCTCCTGTCAGAGCTCTAGGCAGCGATACCGGGCCAGAAAGAATACTTGTGACAGAGGTTTACATCGTTTTTCTAGGAACTCTTAATTTCTCACTCCTCTACCACACACGGATCTGTAGGGAGTATTTGTAGAAAGTTTTGGCAAAACACCAAATGATGGTTCGGTGGAAATGGCCGGTAGGTAAGTCACCCACTCAGCAGGCTCTCTGGATGGCAGTCCCACACGGGGCCTGCTTGGCTGCCTACGGGATCCGAACTCTTGTTGCACCCCTGCTGAGCAGGGCAGGCATCTGTATTCCTTATGAGAAAGGCTCTTATTTTTGGAGAAACCCAACAGTGGACTAAAAATTACACAGGGCGTGGGGTGTCCCCACCTGTCCTCCGGTCCTGGGGCTCCTCAAAGCAGCCAGTGCCGACGGTTCCCTTCCAGAGTTGTTAGACCTCCATGCGTCTGAGTCTGTTTACAAGGACTCTTGGGTGCCTTTCAAAAAGAGACGTGACAGATCGATTCTGTCGGTGCGAATGCCCGCCTGCCCAGCAGTTGTATTGGGGTGTGTATATTTAAGATGCTCCCCTTATCCATTGCTCCCCCTCATAAAGCATCTTTTTTTATCACAGCAACTACTCTGGGACACATTGCTTCACTCCCACTAGGAGGGCCCTCTGTGGTTTGGGGGCTGTTGGGGAAGAGCAGATACTCGAGTTGCACAGACAGATCACAGTGCCATCTTTTGCCACCCTACCAGCCAGCTCTTAGACACGTGACCCGAGGCAGCGCCCTCACCCAGGAAATTCTAGGTGCTCCCACCGTGAGCCGGCTCATCCCACCCCCTTGGTGGGAGCACGTGGTAACCGAGCTGCTGTGCAGCGAGGAAAGCGCCCTAGGGACTATGGTGGGTGCCAGTGAGTCTACCCACTCCTACAAATCTCTCTCTCTCTCTCTTTCTTTTTCTCTTTTGGTAAGAATGAAGCCAAGAAAAGTTAAAGAAGATGACGCTCCAAGAACGATAGCTTGCCCTCATAAAGTAAGTAACCCTGGGGGAGGCGTTGGCCTGCGGTGGAGTGCTAGAGGGAGCATGCAGAGTCTGCGCTTTCCTTTCTGTCTGCGTGTGAGGCGAAGTGAGGGGCCAGATCCTCCGGGATGCCACTGCACTTAAGTGCTACTAACGGGGTTACTGTAGGCACCAGTGTTTCTGTCATTACTGTATACTGCACATACTATGTCAGGGCTGTATTTCTTCTTTTTGAATCATTAAGAAGACAATCTTAAGACTTTGGGTTGTGTCTCACCCATGGACCTTTATGGGACCATAGGCTCATTATGGGAATTTGGAGTTTATTTTGGATGTTGCTTAACTAAGCCTAATAAGACTTTGTTATTTCTTTCACAATTTTCTTAATTTACTCTGTTAATTGTGTGTTGCTAGAGAGATTCTTAATTGTTTTCAAATGTGATTTAGTCTTTAAAATAAAAGGATAGCCTAAAAGATGCTTGGGAGGTATGGGTTGGGTCAGTTTGAAACTTAGCTGGTATAAAACTGACCGAAACTATCACACAGGCGCAGAAAAACAAGGCAGAGTTCTTGAATGGAATAAGGAACTTTTTTAAATGAAAGATTGGAAAAGGACAAACGTAGCTTCCTGTCGTCACCTCTGATCGATCACTGTGCACTCACTGGTCCTCTGTTCCTTTTTAATGCTCTTCGTGTGGAGCGTTTGAAATGTAAAGTGATACTCGTTGGGGCCGAAATACACATAAGCGTTTGAAAACAGTTCTACCTTCAAGTGCCTGCCATCTCTCTAGCTTTTTTGTCTACTTCTTAAAAATTCCATTTTCTAAGTGGAAACTCAGCCTAGGGGTCAAGGTGAAAAACTGTGGCTTTTCCCGCCCACCCTTCTGCCTGTGAACCTGTCCACTGGTTGGCTTGTGCTGTCCTCCTGTCGTGCTGTCTGTCGTTCCCCCATCCACTCCATCACTGGGCAACAACTGCAGAAGAAATTGCAGGACATGCTTCTCTGAGCGCCGCACGCCCACCCGCCCACCCTGCTCTCTGTCCGTAGCTGCTGCTTTCCCAGTGTCTCACCAAATCAATTTCTTCTGTAGTTGCCATTCCTTGGAGACCCTCTTGCTTCTTTCTCTGTCAAGAAGGGGAAAGAGGCAAAGAGAGAAGAGGGAACAGTAGGCGATGGAGAATGACAGCCCATTCTTGCAGCACAGAATGTGGGGCCCACCAAAGGTAGTGGTGGTCTGCCGTCATTTTAACTCCATTTATTTCTCAGGGCTTCTGTTGCTTCATGTGGGGGACGGAGTTGGGCGAGGCAGCTGTGGTATAGCTGGAAGCCGGGTGGTGGGTTCTACTCCCAGCTTCCTGCTGCCAGTGGTGTGACCTTGGGCAAGTCTACTTAAAGACATCTCTAAGCCTCAGTTTCCTCATCTGTAAAGCAAGGGTTAAATGAGAAGGCCTTTCTCAGCTGTCTGTTTTCTGTCTTAAATAATTTAAGATTTGTACTGTAATGCTAAGTGAAATTAAAATGGGGGCTGGGGGTGGTTTTGTCGTAACGTGTCCGTGGAGGCTGTTCGGTGGTTGACTCCTTCGCGCACCTTGCAGGGTGGACCACTAAGCTTCTCTCTCTGTTTGAAGGGCTGCACAAAGATGTTCAGGGATAACTCCGCTATGAGAAAGCACTTGCACACCCACGGCCCCCGCGTCCACGTCTGTGCAGAGTGTGGCAAAGCTTTCGTGGAGAGCTCAAAACTAAAACGGCACCAGCTGGTTCACACTGGAGAGAAGCCCTTTCAGGTAGAGCCAGCCCCCACTCCGTGCCCGCGGGCAGTGGCCGCGCCTGGCGTCCGGATGGGCACCGGAGGGGCTGCCCTGGCTCTTGCCCTGCCCGGTGTGATCTGTGACACGCTGGAGACCTATTGTAGTGTCCGTCTCGTCCGGAGAAACGGGGTTGCTCAAGGGCAAGCCTGACGCTCACTCAGTCTGCAGTTAGGAGTGTGTTGAACCACTAACTGGCAGAGAGCTTCTAGAGTTTATCCCAGTTAACATCCTGTTCCCCTTTCAGAAGCCCCTGACCGAGGGGGGGGGGTGGTAAACGCACAGCGCAGCCATTGCATCTCACCTGGTCCTCCTGACAACTTGGCACTGAAACCTTCCCGTTCGCTGTACACAAGTGCTAGGACCTTAAGTAGTACTCCGGACGTCCTTGCTGTTTTGCCTAGTGTTTCTCTTACATGGTATTTAAACAGCTTGGGGGGGGCTAGACCCTGGGTCTTAGAAGACGTTTGTGCAGAGTAAGAGCCCCATGCCCACTAATTCTAGATTGCAGCTTGGACTTCCCCCCGGGGCAGGGAGGGCACACTGGGTCGAAGGCGCTGTCCGTCCCCCGGGCTCGGCGCTGAGCGGGTTCTCTCTGGTCTTCTCCCGACAGTGCACGTTTGAAGGCTGCGGGAAACGCTTTTCACTGGACTTCAATTTGCGCACGCACGTGCGAATCCATACCGGAGACAGGCCCTATGTGTGCCCCTTCGACGGTTGTAATAAGAAGTTTGCTCAGTCGACTAACCTGAAATCTCACATCTTAACACACGCTAAGGCCAAAAACAACCAGTGAGAAGACGAGAGAGGAGAATCTTGTCGGCCTCGGGAAGCATCTTCCAGGAGTATGATTGGAAATAACTACGCCTCTCCTTTGTATATTGTTTCTAGGAAAGAATTTTAAAATGAATCCTACACACCTAAGGGACATGTTTTGATAAAGTAGTAAAAATTAAAAAAAAACTTTAATAAGATGACATTGCTGAGATATGCTCTATCTAGCTCTGTAATCTCGTTTCAAAAACACGGTGTTTTTGTAAAGTGTGGTCCCAACAGGAGGACAGTTCATGAACTTCGCATCAAAAGACAATTCTTTATACAACAGTGCTAAAAATGGGACTTTTCACATTCTTATAAATATGAAGCTCACCTGTTGCTTACAATTTTTTTAATTTTGTATTTTTCAAGTGTGCATATTGTACACTTTTTGGGGATATGCTTAGTAATGCTATGTGTGATTTTTCTGGAGGTTGGTAACTTTGCTTGCAGTAGATTTTCTTTAAAAGAATGGGCAGTTACATGCATACTTCAAAAGTATTTTCCTGTACAAAAAAGTTATATAGGTTTGTTTGCTCTCTTAATTTTGGTTGTATTCTTTGATGTTAACACATTTTGTATAATTGTATCGTATAGCTGTATTGAATCATGTAGTATCAAATATTAGATGTGATTTAATAGTGTTAATCAATTTAAACCCATTTTAGTCATTTTTTTTTTCTGAAAAATACTGCCAGATGCTGATGTTCAGTGTAATTTCTTTGCCTGTTCAGTTACAGAAAGTGGTGCTCAGTTGTAGAATGTATTGTACCTTTTAACACCTGGTGTGTACATCCGTGTAACAGAAAGGGCAACAATAAAATAGCAATCCAACAGAAAGAGTACGGCAGAAAAAGATCTGTAAGCACAGTCTTATTTCTTTTTGTTGTCCAGAATAATTATAAATTCTTGAGCCTCCCAGAAATTGGAAGCTAAATAAAGCAACTCAAGTCTCCTTTATTTTGCACTCAATTCCAGTGACTTGTGATTGAGCAATTTATGGGTATTTTAATACTCCCCGTGTGGACTGAGTTCTGAAAGAGTAGGTAACAGGCGTCCCGAGTTAAGGAACTACCTCAGAGCGCCCCCCGCAAAGGTGCGGCTGACCGGTGTGCCGGGCCTGTGTTCTCAAGGTAAGGAGTTACCGGCAGGGGCTGCCCTCCTCGTGCTTCTGGGCTGCTTGGTTGCGGTGCCTTGGGCCCGTGGGCAGGGTCTGTGGTGCCAGCACCTGCGGCGGTTGAATGCCAGCGGCTTGATTTTGTGCTCCGGAGCGGGTGCTGGTTGGCGAGGTGACGAGACAGAATGGCGCTCACTGAGTACTGTACCTCTCACACGGTGACCTCTTAGGTGTGCGATTATAATTTTTGAATTTTACTTTGAGTCAAACCTTGGGCCCGTGAGAATGTTTTATAAACTGCCCCAATAAGCAAAGTCCCATTTGTTCAGAATTCAGACCTACTGTGTGTCTTTGTGCTGTTTGCTGAACTCTGCCGGGCAATTGACAAACGAGCTAATACCAGAGACCAACTGACGAGATGCCCAGGACACCAGCCAGTCAAAACACGGCCCTGTCTCTGCAGCTTCTCCATTGGTCCCGTGCGGGGCTGACGGCCCGGTCCTAGTGACCCTGTGGCCCTCTGGAATTTTGAAGTGCCTTCTGAATCATAGATGAAAAATTTAACTTGAGACACTTTTTATTCGTTCAGAGTCTGTTTTCCATTGAGTAGTCTGGCGGGACCGAGTTAATCAGAAGAGCCAGCTGTCGCCGGGTGAGCCAGGCTGTGCTGTGTCCGAAAGTGGGGAGTGCGGGGAGCCCTGGTGGAGGTGAGGTCCCCTTCGCGGCCCAGTGCCCCACTCGAGCCTGTGCTGCTCTGGCTAGACCGCAGTCTGAGGCCTCCCTGGGCACCCGGGCTGCAGTGTCCACACCTCCCCGCTGTCGGGTGAGCGTCTGGAGCTGGGCCCGGCGCTGCGCTCGGGGCTCCTGCCCACGGGCCCCTGGCAGGGCAGCCTTGTGCTGCGGGGACACGCTGGCAGTCTGGGAGCCAGGCCCCCGTGTGGAGGGCGGTCCCCCTTGCCGTGCCTTGATCCCTAGGGGGTGGCTTTGGTCATCTCTTCTGTCCCTGTCTCTGAGTGGAGTAGTCATCGTTCCCCTCAACTCCATCTCTGTTCACATGTCTTCTCTCGATCTGCAGAGTTGGTTTCAGAAAGGAATTGGATTGGGGGGTTGGAGAAAATTGAGCGTGCATGTTCCTCGTTAGCAGAGCACTCCCGATTTACATAGTGTAGAAAATGAGAAAGTGAGCAGAGGTGGTCCTTGCTGGGTGTGGCTTAGGCCCATTTTGCTTGTGGTTCACATTCATAATTCTGCTAAAGACGTAATCGATAAAACTTTGAAATGGTGTTCTAACAGTGAGTCAGTGGTCTGGAGGGTTAATCTGATTTATAAATAACACTGATAGACATATTTTCTTATATCTGAGCTGAAATACATGCATGTTTTTAGGATATGTAATATAAAAGCCCAGAAGATAAGTTTACATTTAATAAGATGTTGTTTTCTATTTTTGGATTTATTATTTCCCCCCTTTTTGGTAGTGGGGTTTGGGGGGAGTATAAAATTTGTATAAAGAACTGTCACCACAGAGTGACATTTATTTTCCAAGGTGACATTGAACTCACGCTGTTGGTTTCATATGGTGTTTGTCTACTATGCCCGTATTCAAGGCCTGAGGGTTTGAGGAAAATCAAAAGATTTTTTTTTTTCTATCTGGTTTTCACGTGCAGTTCTTTTAAATGTCACTAAACTTGCTAAATTTGAGTAGGGTAAGACCTGTGGCAGAACAGGAAGTCCAGTGCCTGCCAGTGTCCCCAAGAGGCCTAGTTTGTTTCTTCACAGACGAGTCCCTTCCGTCCAGTGGGCAGCCCAGAGCTGCTGCCATCCGCCTGGGTGGGCAACGGAGGCCTTTGGTGCTGCTCCCAGTCTGTGCGGCAGATTTACCTGTTGCAGCTGATCTCAGAATTTGTGGCGCAGGGAAACCTGGTCCTCTAAAAGTGTGCCGGTTGGAAATCTGATCATCCGACCCCCCCCCCACAGGTAGAATTGGTCACTTGTGTCCGACCTGTGTCCCAGGATCAGCGCCGTTCAGGAAGGCAGGCTATGGTGTTACCCTTGAGTTCTCTGAGTTCCGAGTTCTCCGGCCTCTCCATCTGACCACCAGCAAGAACAAGGATCCCAGAGTTCAGAACAGTGGTGAGAGCTGAAGCTGGTTCCGACAGGCATCCACTTAATGCCATGACCTGGTCATGAGGCTTCCTCCCTGCTGCTCTGCTGGCCACCGAAGCCAGCCCCCCTGCCTGTCCCTGGACGGCCTCGGACCCACTGGCATTAATTAGTGCAGGTGCAGCACCTTGTGAGAGGTCAGGCCCAGCACATCCTGGCAGGTGCATTCATTGCATCTGAACTTGTAACCCGGAGGCAGAGGAGGGAGCCAGCACTCCCAGCTCTGTCCCCCTAGCAGCGCTGCCGCGCACCCCACAGCCTGCTTTCCAGCATTGCAGAAGGCACTGCTTGCTTCTGCGGAAGCTTTGCCTGAGAGGCCGGCTACTCTGCACCCCAGCTCATGACCTTGATTGGTTTTGATTGTTACTGCTCAGGCTGTGTTCAGGTCTCTACTGTCTGAACAGGGTGTTGTGCAGGCCCTTCAGATCACCAGCCTCAGCAGAGGCCAGGCCCCTCTGCAGGCAGGCGAAAGGCAGCCACCTCCCCTCCCAGCCTGAGTGGTCAGCAAAGGAGAGCTCTAAGCTGGGGCTGGAGCAAGGCTTGCTGGGAGGGGCGCGTGCATCTTGTTGACACACTTAATCCACACCCGTTTTAAAAACCGGAAGGGAAGGTTGAACACTGGCACAGGTCAGCAGGCAAATCAAACCTCCCAGAGGCTGGGTGCTCCGGGGGAGTCTGCAGAAGGTGGGGGACAGTGTCACATTCATCTCAGAGCACACTGATGGGTTTTCACAGAGGGGCAGGTTTGATCAGATTGACTGCTTGTCATGCAAGACACTCAGATGCCATAAGAAACAAGTGTAGGGTGCCGCAGGGTATGGGGGGGTATTGCTGGGCTGTGTTCTGTTGGCCACTCCACCTGAGGGCTGCATGCTCTCAACTTAGACTGGAGGGGAAGGGGCGTCAGTACCAAACCGTGTTCTACAGCATCCATAACTCATGAGGCTCGCTTATCTACAGATGGTGATTGGTCAAATGATTTTCATAGAACAATTATGTTTTTACTCACTGGTAACCTCCGTAGGCCCTGGTTCAAGAACTTAGCATTGCGTCTCATGTACATCTTTTTCTTAAATGTTCTTTGCCATTTCTGGAATTGTCCTTGGTTTTTCCTTAGCTCATAGGTCATAGATGCAGAAGTATTATTGCATTTAAGGCATCCGCATCAAGCAAGATGGCTTTGCATCCAGAAAAACATTTAATGATAACTCAGTTTGAAGCACCAAGCATGTGTAACATGGTTCTATAAAATATAATAAACGCATAATGTTGTTAAGCTTTTTGATGCCTGTAGTGGTGGTTTGTTCCTCAAGCCGCTAGGTCTCCTCTCTCCCCGAGCCTCCCCACCCACCCAGAGCTCCTGGCTGCAAAGCCCCTGCCTGGTCAGGCTGCCTGCACCGGACACGGGTCCTCACCTCGGGTGAGGCCCAGGCGTGGAAGCTCCCGATTCGGTCTCACCAGCAAGGAACGCTTCCCTCAAGTTTCGACTTCCACTGCCCCTCTTTTCCCCTCTTTCGCACTTGCCAGCATCTTCACCTCACTGTAACCTTTGTGGGGGTCCTCACTCTGCCCGGGACCGTGCAGGCCACCGTGAACACCACCTCGTTCTCCTCTCCAAACCTCCCATGGAGACACGCAGTGGCCTTGCCCCACGCTGTGGAGGACGGCCCTCCACGAGGGGCCTGGCCGGCCCCGCTGCTCTTCCGTGGCCACGGCGCCCCTGCCTGAACTCGCCTCTAACCTCCCATGAGAGAAGCCGCGGCCCCGCGGGCCCCACCACTAGCAGCCCCTAACTGACTCCCAGCGTGGGCTCCCCATGTTCTATGAAACCGGGCCCGGGCTCGACCTGCTCTCCTCCTGGCCCTCCTCACAGCCCTTCACCTCCAGAGCCCCGCTCCCCTCGAGCTCCCAGGGTCTCGCACCCAGTGAATACTTTTGGTTCAGGCCGCAGAGGTGCTAACGGAAGTCTCATGACGTATGGCGCGGGAGGAGACGTGGTAAATAAGACAATGGAAGAGAAGCCGGGTAAGCACTGTGGCCGCGGGGGTGCTGGGGAGAAGCTCTGGCCCACGCTCCCTCTCTTCTGCCACGTGTCCCAGAAGGGGGGGGCAGCATCCCCTCCAGCCGCGGGCACCAGCCCCTGGTGGTAGGCTCTCCGTCATCCTCCCTTGTCTGAGCTGCCTTCCCTTGCCGCCAACTCCATCCTTAGACCCCCGACCCAGGTGGCACCGGCGGGAGCGCCTCCTCCTCTCGCCACTCGGGGGCGCTGTGCAGCAGGGTCTGCGCATGCGCGCGCGGCCTGCACACGTCTGGGGCCGGCGCCTGGCGGTCTCCGGAGAGAGCCGGGGGTGGTGGGGGAGCTGCACCTTGGAGTCTACAGCCACCCGTCCCCGCCGCACGCACACTTGGCTCAGCCTGGGGACCCACAAGGTCGAGGGAGGGTGTCTTTCATTCGACCTCCGGTACTTGCGGGGCCTCCAGCTGCTAGCCCTGGGCGTGCCGAGGGGACGCGGACACGTGTGGTGGGAGGGGACACGCGGGGGGGCCCGTCAAGTTGGAAAGGCCTCGGGTTTGGGCTGCACTAAAGGGCAGTGACCTTGGACCAGGCAGGAGTTTTATTTTCCTCCGAGGGTAGTGGTGGGCTGGCCCCCAGGAGATAGGGACGGGAGAGGCACGCATG